AAGCAGGCCCCCTTTACCCATTTTACTTTCAAGTTTCTGTGTAAAAATTCAGTGTAAAACTTAGTTTTTAAAAGTACTGCCTGGGCCAGCCTCTCATTCCAATGATAGTAAGTTGGAGGCCCAGGATAAAGGGGACCACCCAAGGTTGAATACGAATGAGTAACAGCACTAGGTCTTGAGCCCACCTTGCCATTTAAATTCGCTACATGGTTCTGTGTCCTGCCCATGAGCACCATTTGTGTCAGGAGGAGGTTGGAGGGAGCTATAAGCCGTGCTTTATGGCTGCAAGATCGTGTTAATTTTTATAAGGGAAACAAATGTCTGTAGCTAGAACAATAAACAATATAGTGAAATTTAATAGGAGTGCAGAGTAGGGTGCGATGGTAAAGGAAAGATTTATTAAACTCTGAGTCACGGCATCATAGTTTGATCTGATTCTTAATAACCACATACTCTAACTTCATGATTTTATAGATGCTGAAACTGAGGGTTGCGGTTAAGTGAACTTGTATGACTTTTTACTCTGAGCTGCCAGTTAATTTGGCAGAACTAGACATTTAGCCTATAGATAATGATTCCATGTTCAGTGACCCTAATGCCATAGGTCAGGGGTCCTCAAACTATGGCCCGCGGGCCACATGCAAATACAAATATTGTATTTGTTCCCGTTTTGTTTTTTTACTTCAAAATAAGATATGTGCAGTGTGCATAGGAATTTGTTCATAGTTGTTGTTTTTTTAACTATAGTCCGGCCCTCCAATGGTCTGAGGGACAGTGAACTGGCCCCCTGTTTAAAAAGTTTGAGGACCCCTGCCATAGGTCATAGTGGATGGCAGTGAGGAGGAATGACTTTTGAGGCAGGGGAAGCAAAGACAGCCCTGAGTGTGCCCATTGGGAGGTAGGAAGAAGTCATATGCCTGGAAGGATGGCTCAGTGTCCACGGAGAAGTGAGACATGCTCATACAAGTAGATCTGGGCCAGAGGGTGGTGAAAGGGCAGCCACTGTGGATTGCAGAGCTGGGTGGGGATGTGTGAGAGCAGTACTTAGAAGATGAGTCCATGTTGGTCTGGATTGAAGGTAGAAAAACCAGGAATACAGGCAAGGTCTAATGGCTGTTAAGAAAACAAGGTTACATTTTAAAAGAATAATCTATCAGGACTTGTTGATAAATCAAACATAGAGTCAGGAGATATGGGCGAAATGGTCAATGACCCTCAGGTTTTTGAATCTCACTATTTGGAGGAAGATTGTGTAGGTGGGAGAAATGAAACTGGGAGGGAGAATGGGCTGGGGATGGGTGGGCAGGAGATGATCAATTTGACCTTAGAGATATTTGGTTGGGTGTAATGGCAAGATGTTCAGAAGGGGATGTCCTGTAGCTGCTGGAGATAAACTGGGGTGTTCCATCTGGACTTGGGGTGTAGACTAAATGATCATTGCAGTTATGGAAATGGGTGAATTGAAACTCTCTGGGAAATGAAAGAGAAGGGCTTAGGACTTTGACGTGTGGTTTCCAGTGTTAGGGACACTCCCGAAGGAAGGGAGAATCTACAACGTCTGAGAAGAGGACACGGAGAGATGTGAAGGGAGGTAGTCAACACCAAGGGTCCCACGGGGCAGTGGCCAACTATCAGAGGATTCAGAAAGAGTCTAGATTTGGTGGCATAGAAGCTAATGTGGGTCTTAGAGAACATATTCACGTGTAGGAGACCGAGGAGAAGATAGGATAGGGATGGTGTGCAAATAGCTTGGAGGATGTCTGGGGCTATTTGGTGCTGGTATGTGACCCAGGACAGGAGAACTGATGAGCTCTGTGACAGCCAGAGATGGTGTTCAGGGAGGGGTACAGGACAAAGTCCAGTGAAAGGCCACTTGGGGGCAAAAGAGAAGGAAAGGCTCTGGGGATGGAGTGTGTGGCACACTGGGAGGGACCGAGGCCCCTGGGGTCCCTGATGGACTAGCCACGGACTTCTCCCTCCTCCTCACTCCATCACAGTGTAGCCAGGACTCAGGCAGGGGCTGATGTGGGAGCCTGAGGGAAGACACTGGGATTTGGGGCTATGCCAGGCCTGGAGGCTTCTGGGGCTCCAGGGGATTCAGCTGCCCTGAATTTCTGCGGGTTCTTTGAGCTGATACTGACTGTGGGAATCTTGCTGGTCCAGCTTCACACAGGGCCCTCCACTGGGTCTGCCCCAGTCAGACCATGACACAGCTACCTGGATGTGTATACTTCTGCTGCCATAACCAAAGAATCCCCCAGAGTTTGGCTGAGAGAGACACAGCATCAGGTGGGCTTCGTCGAGGCCATGCTGCTGTGGGCCTCTCTAGGCTGGGGGATCATCCGGTGCTTTGCTACTCAAAGTGTGGCCCAGGGACCAGCAGCATTGTCCCTTGGTTGCGAGTTTGAAATGCAGAGTCTTAGGTCCCACCCCAGACCGAGGGAATCAGAATCTGCTTTTAGCAATAGCTGCAAATGAATTACATGTTCACCAGAGAGAGAACTGAGCTAGCCTAGCGGTCCAAGCCTGGCTGATCACTGGGATCACGCCAAGCTCAGGAAAGACTCATCAAGAGCCCCCAGGTGACTCAATGGGTAGGCACTTTTGGGAGCCAGTGACTTTATCTGAACGCCTCACTTAAAAAAATTAAAACTGCCTTAGCTGGTTTGGCTCAGTGAATAGAGCATTGGACTGAAGGGTCCCAGGTTAGATTCTGGTCAAGGGCACGTACCTCGGTTGCAGGCTCAATCCCTGGACCCAGGTTGGGGTCCAACCAATCAATGTTTCTGTCTCTCTCTCTGTCTCTCCCCTTCCCTTCCACTCCCTCTAAAAATATCAATGAAAAAATATCCTAGGGTGAGGATTTAAAAAAAATTTAAAACTTACTTTATATTAAAACTAAAATTCATATTTATATAGGAATAATGTTAACATCTTAAAAAAATAAAAACCACTCATGATCCTGCTACTGCAGGTCAGTGCTATAGTGATGTGGGCTCCTTTGCTTCTGTGTCTTTGAATGCCTGTGGATTTCAGTGGAATCATAACCTATGCATTATTTATATCCTGCACTTTTCACTTGGTATATTTGGAACATTTTTATGTAATACAATCTCCTACAATATCATATTTAATGTAAACATACTTCTTTTATTTACTAGATTGCCATAATTTTTAAACCAATGGCCTATTATTGAACACTAGAGGCCTGGTGCATGAAATTCGTGCACAGGAGGGAGGTAAGAGCGGTTAGGGGGATGGGGCCTAAACCAGCAGTTGGACATCCCTCTCACAATCCGGGACCGCTAGCTCCTAACTGCTCGCCTGCCTGCCTGCCTGATTGCCCATAACTGCCTCTGCTTGCCAGCCTGATCGCCCCTAACTGCCTCTGCTTGCCAGCCTGATTGCCCCCTAACTGCCCCCCTGTCAGCCTGGTCACCCCCTAACTGCCCCCCTGCTGGCCTGGTCGCCCCCTAACTAATCTCCTGCCGGCCTGATCGCCCCTAACTGCCTCTGCCTCAGCCCCTGCCACCATGGCTTTGTCCGGAAGGAAGTTAGATGTCCAGAAGATGTCCAGTCGACCTGGTTTAATTAGCATAGTATCCTTTTTTAGTATAGATTTAGAGTATTTCTAACTTCCTGCTATTGTGAAAAGTGATGTAGTGAAGATCTTTGTGATTGCATGTTTGGGCAATCTCTTATGTTTTATTAGAATAAGGGCAATGGATGAACTTACCAAGCACGAAGACTTCTTTAATACTTTGATCACATCACCAGTATCACCCAGAATTGCAGTCCTGCCCAGTGCCCTGTTATCCTTTACTCCCACCAACCCTCACTCTGACTGCAAAGCCCAGAGACAGGAAATGGGCTGTCCAATGGACTGAGGCAGATCCAGCACTAAAGCTATCTCGGCCCCACCTCCTTCTAACATGCAGGCCTAGGAGCTCGGTGCTGCTGTGGTGGCTGAGCCCACCATCAGCATCAACCTGTCCTCTCATCTGCCTCCACGTGCTCTCAGTGCCTCCCTCTCCCTCTCTGAGCCTTGCTCCTTTCTCCCGCCTTTCTTCTCCCACCCCCTGTATTTTCTGCTCTCTTACCTTATTTCTTCCCTTTTCCCTTCTTGGTGAGAATCTTACCTGCTCGGTACACCTCAGCCCTAGCCATCCTTGCATTTTGCTTTTCTGGACTATTTTCCAACTCTTACCACATTCAGGCCCTGATTTGCTCTGGTTCTTTTCAAGCTAGATTCCAGACCAGCTCTTTGGAAGGTCACGTTAGGGCAAAGCTCTGGGGCAGATAACCTGGCTGGAAGGAGAGGCTTTGTGGTCTGGGGTTTATATGGGGACACTGGTTTCAGTTTCGATCACTCATCCTCAAAAACACAAGTGTCTCTACCTCAAGCCTGTCCTGTTTCCATGTGGTGTCGTTGCGGGAGCGGGTCAAGATTTGGATGGTCTCTCGTCCACAGTCTGGGCAAGGTGACCAGTCCCTTGGAACCAGCTGTCTCACTCTGCAGAGCGGGGTCCGCACCTCCTGCTTGGTGGGGGAGGGCGGCTGTGGTGACTATGCCCCTGGGAAGTGGGGCGAGGTTCCAGGGAGCCCATCCTCAAGCTGTGAGGCTCCAGCCCTCTTCCCCCCCGACCCGCCCCCAGGCTCAGCTGTGGGAAGTGCTCCTGGAGAAACCATTTGGGGAGCATATTCTCTGATTTTGCAGGGCTGGCACCAGGGCACATTCTCAAGCTCACACCCCAGCCAGCTCGACCTGTTCCCAGATGCCCAAATGAGAGGGGCCAGCGCTGCCTGGAGTGTACGGGGCTAGGGGCTAGGGAGACCTCGGTGGACTCACGGGGCCAGTTACAGAACAGCGGCCTGGTGGGACCTTCCACGGCCTGGTTGGGATTTGGGGCGCAAGGGGTGTCTGCCCCCAGCTCCACTGCCTCCTCTGACAGCCCTTCTCTCTTTTCCCTCAACAAGGACCAGTCACTGGGATTGCAGGAATGTGCTCCCTCCCCATGGCAAGATACTACATGTAAGTCCTCCCTTTCTTCGTCAGGAGCCTGGGGATGACGCAGGAGAGGAAAGAGGCCGAGGCAGAAGGGCAAGCCTCCTTCTTACCCTAGAAACCTCAAATGCCCTGTAATTAAGCGTGATCACCACCCCGATAACAATAGTCTCTTTCCTGAGCATCTGCAAGATGCCAGCCATGTACTGCCTTGTCTCCATCCTAAGAAACCGATGAGGGGTTGTTACTAAGCCCATTTTACAGATCGAGAAACAGGCTCAGAAGTTAAACAAATTCCCGGATGTCACCCAGAGCCAGGGCCCAGACTGCACACTCTCTGTGCTGCTCCATCCTCCCTCTGAAAGCTCAGGGACCATTCTGCGTCTCAGTGACAACACCGCTCTATGCTGGCCTCCGTGGCCTCACTCCTAACCCGGGTTTCTGTGTCTTGCTTGCATTTTATCTTGTTCAACATTTGTGTGTTTACTTACAGTTTACTCTTTACTGTCCGTGACTTTTTATGTAAATTACCTCCGGCCCTTAGGGAAGGTGATGGGATGTAATGAATAAAATACACTGGCTGCTGGAGTGCCTGTCCTCCGCTCCCGCATGGCCATCCTGTCCTGACATGGGCCAGTCGGGGCCCCAGGAAGTCACGGCGCGGCTGGAAGGCAAGACACATGCACAAAACACACAAATGACAAGACAGGTGCCTACCTTGGGGTATCTGGCTTGGGTTCAGGTCTCCAAATAGACTCTTGCTGGCAGGCGCATTGCATACAGCCTTGGAGGACCAGTTGGCAAGCCCACACTCCTCAGATGCTTATTTTTTATTGTGTAAGTGAACTTGCCTTAAACACAGTCATTAGCTAAGGGTGTTGTGATGAGCTGTTATTGAGAAAGGAAGCTCTCCTGGAGGCAGCGGCGTTGGCCCCGAGCCTCTGCCCTGGAAAGTAAGGAGGCTGCTTGGGCCTGAGAATGGCTGACAAACGTCTCTGAAACCAGCCAGGCGACTGAGCTAATGGCCTCGCGGCTGTGAGGTTGCACACGCTCGCTCAGCGCGGTTTCTCAGCCTCAGGCACAGTCACCCGCCCAGGCCACCATCGCCACCACGGCCAAGCCCAGTGGCTGTCATCAGGCCGCTCCAGCTTTCTGCCAACCTCCTCACTTGGCCCCCGTAACATGGGTGCCCCAGAGTTCACCTGCTCGGTACAGGGGACTTTATTTACCATCACATAGAAAATTATTTCCCCAATTTATGGATTTTCTTCTATTAAAAAGTGTTTAAATATTTGAAAAGCAAATCACACTTCAATATACACTCAATTGATTCCTTCAATAAGAGAATAAACATCTGTGAAAAACTGGGGCAGGCCCAGAAAACCCAGGAGAAGATTCACTGTATCCCAGAGCCATCGCAGCCTCCTGAGGAGATTTCTCCAGAAGGCAGGGGAAAAGGGCTACATCATCCAGAAACTTCTCTACCCCCCAGTGAGATGGCACCCACTCCCCTCAATGCCCTGAAGGCCTGACAGAGCCCAAGCCTTGTAAAGGGAGGAGGTGCAGCCTCTTACGAGATCCAGAAGGCCTTTCTGCCTTAAGATGACCTGGTCCTTATCTGCCCCTTCTCACCTGTAGGAGGAGAAAAACCCCAGATACTTAGTATGTAATCAGATTGTAGGGTTGGGGCTCAGCGGTGCCATCAACATTGCCATCTGTTCCAGAATTAAGGATGCCGACCAGCAGGCTCTGTACATAAGAGGCGACCAGCTCTTGGTGGGAGACCCTGATGCGGACAACTGCTGTGCAGGTGAGCCCTGAGCCTCCGCTGCTGGGACCCACCCAGGCTCCATCTGCCACATGCTCTCCCCTGCCCTCCTGCCTCTGGGGACAGTGAGAAGAGACAGGGAACAGCTGAGACCCTTCCTAGTAAGAGGGCATGACCCTGAAGGCGTCCCCAGTTCATCTTGCTGGGCCCTGGCCCAGTTCCTGCCCAAACGAGGCTCGTCCAGAGCTTGTGATGTGGGTCCCCTCATGCCCTGGCTCTCTCCTCTCTTTCTTCCCAGAGAAGATCTGCATACTTCCCAACAGAGGCCTGGACCGCACCCAACTTCCCATCTTCCTGGGGATCCAGGGAGGCAGGCGCTGCCTGGCCTGTGTGGAGGCAGGGGAGGGGCCTGCCCTGAAGCTGGAGGTGAGACGCATCCTGCTCTAGGGGACCCTGCAGAGCCGCCTGTCCTCCAGGGCACTCTGGCACCTCTGCTCCCGCCTGTGGGTGCCCTGCCAGGTCCACATGTCCCTCTCTGGCAGGTTTCCACCATCTCCTTCTGCACCCAGTGCCAAGACCCTTGCCCCCCATAGCCCTCAGGAGGCCGTTCCCAGTAAAGACCCTCCCTGCCCAGTCCCTCCCTGGCCTCCTCCACAGCTTCACCCTGCAGCCGGCTGCTTGCCCCCCCAGGATGTGAGCATCGAGGACCTGTACAAGGGCGGCGAGCAGGCCACACGCTTCACCTTCTTCCAGAGAAGCCTGGGCTCCGCCTTCAGGCTCGAGGCTGCAGCCTGGCCGGGCTGGTTTCTCTGTGGCCCGGCTGAGCCCCAGCAGCCGGTTCGACTGGCCGAGGAGACTGAACCCTCCATCCGCACTGAGTTCTACTTTGAACAGAGTCGGTAGGGAGGCAGCAGGCAGAGGTCCAGCCTGGGGCCCCCAAAGCAGGCTCATCTGCTCGGGGCCGGTGGTAGCAGAGCGACCCCCTTCAGCGATGTCACCTCCTGACCCCCAGCACCTGGGAATATGTTACCTTACAGGGCAAAGGGACTCCGAGTAAGTTAAAGGTCTTGAGATGGGGAGACCATCCTGGATTGTGGGGTGGAGGGGGGATGACCAATGTCTCACGGGGTCCTCATAAGAGGGAGGCAGGAGGGCAAGAGTCAGGGAGAGATGGGAAGATGCGGTGCTGCTAACTTTGAAGATGGAAAGGGGCTGTGGCAGGCTGCAGGTGGTCCAGAAGCTGGACGAGGCAAGGATACGATTCTCACCTAAAACCTCCAGAAGGAGACAGCCCTGCGACTACGTGATTTCAATCCCATGACACCATTTCCGGCACCTGCCATCCAGAGCTGCGAAATATTAAATGTGTGCTGTTTTCAGCACCACGCGTATGGTGGTTTGTTACAGCAGCCGCAGGAAACTGATACAGGGCCTCAGGCCCCGGTGCTGTGTCCAATGCCAGGGGAACCTTGAGGAGTCCCCAGAAGGCTGGTTACAGCTGCTCCTCTGGTCCCTCTGCTCCAGAGCTTCCAGAACAGACAAGATGCTCCAGGAAGAACCCAGCTGTCCTCCTCTGTTCATGGACAACGCCTTGGGCAGCTAACGGTTTCAGCTTTAGTTCAAGTCTTACAACTTTCCTATGTATCAGTCATTCAACTGATGATCAGTACCTTTACTCGTCTGCTGGTTCTGATGAGTGAGGTGCAAGGAGGGGCAGCGAGGGACGGGCAGTGGGTTTCTACTGGACGGGGTCAGTTTAAGGTCCCAGTGGAACCAATATGTTGAGGTGACTTGTTAGAGCTGGGATACAGGCTGGAGAGTTTGCAGCCAGAACTGACACTCATTCTCAGAGCTCTGTTTCTCTCCACTCATAGAGGATGTGTGGTAGGGCGCCAGCCAGCCAGAGCCCAGGGAGCCGGGCTCAGAGCGGGTGGGCTGCTGGCACCATTCCTCTCTCGTAAAATCGCTTCACATCTGTGCGACAGGTGCCGTGGGCCAAGGAGTCTCAGAGCACTATGATTTCACCCAGAGCGACCCACGGGGGGGGCTCCTGACCTCCTTCTGACAGGCGAGGAGCCTGTACCGAGAGGAGTGAAATAACGTGTTGCACGTGGTGGAGCATCTGATGCCAATGGCCGTCCACAGTGTATTCCACTCTTATTCCAGGAGCTGGGGTAGAATGGGGAACAGAGCCAAGCTCCCTTGGAATTGAGTGTGAGAAACACTAAACAAGCAAGCAAACAAACAAACAAGGGCAACTGACCTGATAGAGGGTGGTAACAATGAGGTGGACAGGGAGGTGACTGACTTTTTGAGGAGGTGACACATGACCTGAGACTGAGGGACAGGAAGGAGTGGGCGAGGAGTGATCCTGGGGAGGAGGAGCCAACGCAGAGGCCCTGGGACCCAGGGGGCGTGGGAGCTGCAGGAAGGGGGGTGGGAGGGCTGCAGCGTGGAGAGCGATTCAGAGGGTCAGGAGGTGAGCAAGACCACAGGGCTGATCAGAGGGCCTCAAAGGCAGAGTAAGAGCTTTGGTTAATTTTCAGATGCAAAGGGAAGCCAGAGGATAGTCATGCCGGGCTGCATGGCTCTGACCCGTCTAGGTTCTTCCCTTGCCTCTCCATGGCCTGGTGTTTCTGGTTGGGACTACCCTGTGCCTTTTGAGGGCTCGTTCTGTTTAAGTTTGGTTCACCAGTGCCCAGAGCAGCTGCTGGTACAGCGGGAGGTGCTGAGCAAATGCAAAATCTCCAACAACTTGGTAGATGATCACTTGGTTCCTGTCGGGTCAGCCTGAGGAGCTGGGGCAGCAAGGGGACAGCGCCGCTGCAGCTGGAGCTGGAGCTAGAGCTGGAGCTGGCGGCGGGGTGGGCAGGCTTCGCAAGGGCAGGGCCTTTAACCTGCGCCTCTGAGAAAATGGACTTTTCCAAACAGGGAGCGTGGGGAGAGGCACTGCAGGCACAGAGAACGACTCAGGGAGGTGATGATGGAGCGCCCACCCGGTACGCGGAGTCACCTGTGGGCTGGGGTCCAGGGCTTGTGGCTGAGGAGATAGGTGGGGCCTGACTGTGAGCGCCTTGGAGGGAGATTAGACTTCATGTAGGAGGCCTGGAGGAGTCATCCCAGGATTTCAAGTCAGACCTGGGTCTTAAGCCTGGGCCCTGGAGGTCCACACCAAACCCACCTGCTGCTGCCACTTCAGCTCAGCTCGGTTTCCTGCTCTCCCCTCCGCACCCACAGGCCTTCTGCTGGGCACTGCCCTGGGATCAGTGTGGCACTCTGGCTTGACCCATCTCTGGCCTCAGTCCCTCATCTCCTTCACTCACGGTAACTCACCTGACCCAACCTGAGCAGAGCCCACGCATGGCAGGGAACGTGGCATGCCTGGTGGCTGTGGGCACAGCCCAGAAGAGAAGGGCCAGCCAAGTGAATTGGATCAAGTTCTCTACTCACGTGAAACACCATTTGTGCACCTGACGTATGCCGGTTCTGTGTTTGTGCTCAGGAGAGGAAGAGGCTCCATGAGAGTTAGAAGACACAGTGCCAATGGGAGCCTGCAGGGCTCTGGGGAAACGATGGAGGCTCTGGTCCTGGGGGTTTCAGAGGGAGACCTGAAGTGCCTTCTGATAGGTGCAGTTCAGAGGTGCCACTTCCCGAGCTGTCCCTTAAACACCTTCTCCTCCCCGGTGACCACACCAGAGGCTTCATCCCACAACCAGCAACTCAGCACTATCCTCATGGACATTCCCGGGAGCAGCTCACTGTGGGTCTTACCCACTATTCACATCTCAGAGTGAACCGGAGGGTCAGAGCTGAGACAGTAAGCTGGTGCTTAGAGTGCATGGTGACCGCTTCTGAGGTTCTGGGAGGCGTGAGCAGGGCAGGATGGTCCCGGCAGAGGAGACGGCCCAAAATAGGCCTGAAGGAGGTGCTGTGTGTGGCTGTGTGTGTGTTAGTGCACGCAGGTATGTGTGCACATGTGTGTATGGTGTGTGTGTGTGTGTGTGTGTGTATGCATGAACTTACCTGTGTGCATGTATACTGTGTGTATGCATGATTGTCTGGGTGTGTGTATGTGCTGTGTGTGTGCATGAGTGTCTGGGTGTGGGTATATGTGTTCATGAACTTGTGTCCACCTGTGTGCACATGAACTGTGTGTGTGCATGAGTGTCTGGGTGTGGGTATATGTGTTCATGAACTTGTGTCCACCTGTGTGCACATGAACTGTGTGTGTGCATGAGTGTCTGGTGTGTGTGTATGTATTGTGGGTTCCGCACATGGGCAGTGGTTGATACATAAAAGCCCATGTTTTTATTCCAGGAAGCTCTGGAGCAACATCATACAGAGGGTGATGTGTTCAGGGTCTCCTGTAACCGGGTGTCACTCCAACATTCCCTTTGAGCAGATTTTTATCTCGTGATCCCTCCACCCGTACTGCAGGCCCTACAAACAACTGCTCAAAACGTTGGCCACTAAGCCCCACTGTCTGCAGAGCTCAGGGCAGCTCCAGGCAGGTCCACACTCAGGTTTAGGGAGGAAGAGTGAAAGTGAGAAAGAAAACTTAATGGGACCCAACTTTTCCTGGGTGCCATTCAGCTAAAAAACATACAACCATTTCCAAAATGAACGTGACAGAAATGAACAAAATGAGCACCAACAGAGAAGTTTGTCTTGGCCAGAAGCACTGGTGTTTGAGTTACTTGAGCTCACTTCCTGTTGGGTTTCACATTTGTGTAACTAAATAAAGGGTTTGCTAGTATCTGACCAAAACAGAGTCTATTTACCCCCAAGCAAATTCCAGTCTCTGCCCCTAAAAGACTATTCTGAGGCCAGGAACCTGCAGCTCCGCTTTCAGTCTGCAGGTGGCGACAAAGATCAACTTCTGTGGCATTTTGGGGAGCAATTTCGATGAAGTCCTCCCTATTTAGTGTCACGGGGGTCAGCCCTGTGCCCCATATCTCCCCCTCACTCACAGTAGCCGCATCTACCTCACGCTGTGCAGATCCGAATCCCACGACAACTCCTCCCTTCCCACAGCAGCAGATTCCTAGCAACCCCTCACAGGAGGAGCAGACCTCCGAGCCTGGGAGGGAAGAGAAATGTCAGCACACTCTCTTACGTTCCTGCCTGTATTGGAGGAGCCAACCTGCCTGACCCCTCCTCCTGTGACCCTGAGTCTGCAGTGCGTCCCCTCAGTGAGCCCTCCCACCCTTGTCCCCTCCGACTCGTTTGGGACACGGGTCCAGGGCCTGTGATAGCAGGTGAGGCAAGGAGGCTGCAGCCCCGAGTCTCAGCCAGGCTCTGCACTGGAACTCTCCCACTGTTTTCTGGAGCTCCAGAGAGCAGTGCTGGTCACATGACCCATGTGCTCGGAGGACCGCAGACTCGGTTTCTCCTGATCAAGTCCTTCCCACGCTGACGCCAGGGAACAGGGTTCCAGGGAATGCTCCTGGGTTAATGGGGAAAATGGGTCATTGTGGTGCTTAATTTTCTGCAGCAACTTGACGGCTAAGTGATGCCCAGGCGGCTGCCAGACACTGTCTCTGGGTGTGTCTGTCAGGCGTCTCCGGAAGAGCTTACACTTGAATCAGTGACTGAGTGAAGCAGACACCTTCCCAGTGTGGGTGGGCACCATCCAATCCACCGAGGGCCCCAGCAGAACAAAAAGCCAGAGAAAGAGTGAGGTTGGTTTCTTTTCTTGAGCTGGGATGTCCATCTTTTCCCGTCCTCAGACTTCAAAGCCCCTGGTTCCAGGGCGTTCAGACTCAGACTGAGTTCTACCACTGCTTTCCCGGCCCTTCAGCTTTCAGACAGCAAGACCGTGCGACTTTTGGCTTCCAAAACCTTGTAACAGGGAGCAACTTTTTATACTCTATCTATCCATCATCTATCTATCTATCTATCTATCTATCTATCTATCTACCTATCTATCTTTAGCACACACACACACACACACACACACACCTGTTGCTGATTCTTGGGGGGACCCTCATACCTGTTTACTTTGCTTCAGCCACACCAGGCTCCTAACTTTTCCCCAGAGATTGCAGGCATGGTGCTACCCAAGGCCTTTACATCAGCCTTCTGTCTGGAAGTCTCACTTCCTCCATGAGGCTGCTCTGATCACTTAACATGTCCCACACCCCCCTCTCCGCGTCTCTGCACCCCTGGGTGCCCTATGGCATGATCACGTGCTAACACACTCCGACCGCAGTGAGCGCTGAACTCCACCTCCTCCAGGTCAGCCGACGACAATGAGAGCCCAGTCAGTGTACATGACGCTGGGATGCCTGTTTCCATGACACAAAGGGAATCACTAAAACAGGAAGCTGACAATCAAAACATAACCCTCCCACAAAAAGCATGTGCTGCAAATGTGACCAGCGTGTCACCCCTGCTGGGCCTGTTAGTCACCGAAGATCATGGAACATCACCCTCATTCACACACCCTGAGGGGGCACAGGGGTCACCGCATGGAAAACCAGGGGCGCCGATTCTTGGAATCCCCTGGAGCAGACTCCAGCGGGCAGGAGGGCTTCGCCGGGGCTGGCTGGTGGGCAGCGAGGGCATGGCGTGGGTGACGTGACCTCTGTCCTGTTCTGGAGGTTGGGTGTCTCTTTACGGTGTTGACCTTGTTTCGGGGGCACTGCCCGGGCTGGCCAGTCACTCAACCAAAGGGATGGGAGCTCCTGCTCTAAAGGGACCCTGAGGAGAGAACACAGGGTGGCAAAGCCCCCGCTCACACGGACTCTGCCGGCAGAGAGGGCGCTGGCCTTTTATCAGCGTCCCATTCATGGCACTGAGCTGTGCGCTATGAGAGGCAGACTGGCTGCTCACACGTGAGCACAGCGCTGCCAGGGTCCATGTGTGAACGTGCAGGTCCCACTGCCGGGTTCTGGGGCCGCCACATCTCGATTCGGACTTGAATATGTATTATGGCAACATATGACAGGCAGCTGGCAACAAGGGCCCTGTGCTAACAAACCTGTATGTCTAATGACTTTCTAGCCGATGACAATAAAATTAGGAGCGGAAGCCTTTTGTGACTCGCTCCCAGGGGCCACAGGTGGCTGGAGCAAAGCGAACCAGGAAAGGGGGTGAGGGAGAGACGTGGCTCCGGGGAAGATTCGGGCGTGTTAGCGGCCTGGTCCTTAGCAGGAGGGCAATGTGGGGACCCGGGGTGATTTCAAGCAGGGAAGTGACAGGTCCAATAAGCCTCCTACCAGCGGCGCCGGCTGCTGCCCAAGAAGGCGTGTCAGCACGGCCTCTGGTGGCTCCCTGCTCCCGGTCTGCTCGCCTCCAGCCCAGATGGAACCGAGTGTCTAGTGGCCGCTGGAGGGGAGCTGGGAAAGGCGGGTGGACACGAGGCACAGGACGAAGATAGAGTTGGCAGATTTGGGTGATTCTGTGCAGAATGGGGTTGACGACCAGTGTTGGAGTTTTCAGCATTGGGCTTGTGGGGTGGATGAAATGGGGAGACCGAGCTGTTTGAAAGAGCAGATGGCCCAGGACGGAGCGGTATTTGAGAGTTGGGCAGAGGATGCCGGGCCTTCAGTGGAGGCTGAAAGGCAGGGCCGTAGAGGGACGACCAGCAGACGTGGAGTGTGGACGTCTAGGGAGGCCAGGGCTTCAACGTGAGTCAGCGTGTGGACACCGCAGTGCCAGTCAGGCCAAGTTCAGAGTGTCCGTGGGATCCAGGAGCTGAGAGGCCCTGGAGCGCTTCCAGGAGAGCGGCTGGGCCAGATGAAGGGTGTTCAGGAGTGACTGGAAGGTGAGGACATGGAACACTGAGTGCAGATCATTTTCCAATAAATTTGGTTGTAAGGTTGGGGGAGAGACATGGGTGTAGCTAGAGGGAGACACAAGGCTAGGGATGAATTTTTCAACGCGTAACAGGTTTAAACATGTGTAAAGTTGATGGGAAGGAGGCAGCGGAGGGCAGGTTGGAATAAAGGGGGGATGCAATAGGGGTCCGAGGTTAAGTGCATGGGCTGTGGAGAAAAGTTACCTGAGCTTAAATTTCCACTCTGACATTTCTTATCTGAGTAAATAGAATGAAATAGACACACTCTAGTTACCTTTAGAATTCTAGCTGGTTTGGCTCAGTGGATAGAGTGTCAGCCTGCGGACTGAAGGGTCCTGGGTTTATTCTGGTCAAGGGCACATGTCTGGGTTGTGGGCTTGATACCCAGTGTGGAGAGTGCAGGAGGCAACCAATCAATGGTTCCCTCTCATCACTGATGTTTCTCTCTCTCTCTCTCTCTCTCTCTCTCTCTCTCTCTTTCTCTCTTTCTCTCCCTTCCACTCTGAAATCAATTAATACTAATATATATATTTAAAAATTAGCCCAGCCAGCGTGGCTCAGTGGCTGAGCATCAAGAGACTTATGAACCAGGAGGTCATGGTTCCATCATTGATGTTTCTATCTCTCTCTCCTTCTCCCTTCCTCTTTGAAATCAATAATAATTAATAATACTAAAGAATTCTAGATGTAGCAGAGTCTTAAGCTTTTATCTTTCCATGATGCACCTGGGGAAAAAGAGCCAATGGCCTTCTTTAGACTTAGGGCCAGTACCATGTAAGGATATGAAAATGCTGGCTCAGCATTATTTCCAAGGAAACGGTTTCATTCATCTGTTATTGTGAAATAAACCATCCTGAAACCTCTCGGCTTTAAAAGGAAGACTATATTCTGTTTGTGAGTCTGCAGTTGACCGGGGCTCAGTGGGGTCACCTCGTCTCTTAGCCACCCGTGTCTCACAGGCCTGCAGGTGACACTGGCTCTGCATGGGACCTCAGGGGGTCTGTCAGTCCCAACACTGTCGCTCGTCCTCTCCAGGAAGCTGGGCTTCCCCGCAGCGCAGGGGCTGGCTTCCCAGAGTGCGTGTCTGCAGGGAGCGAGCCAGTGGGATTTTGATGATCTGACTTGGGAAGTGATTCAGCATCGCCTTCTCCTCACTCCGTTCATTGGAAGCGCGTCACTAATTCAGTCACCTTCAAAAGGGGCGAAATCAGACTCCACCTCTCAGTGAGAAAGCCTCAAAGAATGTGTGGGCTTGTTTTAAAACCACAATAGCAACATATTGCCAATGTAGACAAAAAAAATTACAATGACAGGCTTTCTCCGGGTGTTCTCCCGAAGCCGTCAGTGTTCTATGACTTTCTTGTTTAAACAATACTTGCAAGGGCATGTTTATTTTATCTAAGAGCAGAAAAGCTGGTGGTAGAAATGAATGTCCATACAGGTTTTCATAAGGCACAGGGGAAAAGCGATAGTCTTGTGGCCGTTCTCAATTTATTGCTTCTCAAAACGTCTGTGTGAACTAGTGTCTGATCCAGTTTGTGAGGCAGGCCCGTATCTCTCCCGCTGGAGCGGAGAGGGGAGGGAACGGCTCCTGCATCACCGAGACTGTCCCTCGTTATGAAGACTGGCATGACAGGCAATGGCATTCCTATGATAAGCAAATGGCTGGCCTTTACATGTAATGTTGCCCGCAGGAATGGGAAGAGGATGAAATCACATTTTATCGCAGGGGAGAGGGTAAGGCACATAGAGTGTGTTTCTCCCACCGGGTGTAAACTTGGGCCAGTGGAGGGGGTGTGCTGACAGCTATCATCACATCACAGCTTTATGGGGAGGACAGAGAAAGCCGAAGCCGGCAGAGCCCTGAGCGGGGCCCAGGCACAAAGGATGCTCACTAAGAACTGAGAATGACCCAGGACGTGCGAACCTCGAAGAGGCTGAACAAGATGGGAGCTTGGATAAGAGTGTGCTACTGCTTCTGTTGGGTGAGAGGGAAGAAGGAAAAGGTTTAGGAGGTTTCAGTGTGGGTTGATGGGGACTTGAGGATGTCTCCTTCTACTAGTTACCTTATTTTGCTGTAAGTGAGGGGGAGAGGGGGAGGGGGACAGGAGAATGAACAAAGTTGGGAACATTTGAAATATTTTCTATGAAGATGGGACAGCCCAGCAAATCAAAGATACATGGAAGGGCCCAGCCAGTGTAGCTCAGTGGTTGAGCATCAACCTATGAACCAAGGGGTCATGGTTTGGATTCCTGGTCAGGGGCACATGCCTTGGTTTCGGACTCCATACCCAGTGTGGGGTGTGCAGGAGGCATTGATGTTTCTCTCTCTCTCTCCCTCTCCTTCCTCTCTGAAATCAATAAAAATATATTTTTAAAAAAGATACATGAAAGGATTGCTAAGCAATATCAAGGGCTGGGTAGGACAATGGGAGAGCGGAGGGGCAGGCAGGGGATATTGCAAAAGGATGGGCTCAAGTGAGGGGATGGAAGAAAGTAAGAAAGCAGGAGAATGTAAAGCAAATTGACTAAGTC